TTTTTTTTTAAATCACAGGCACAGAAATATCCTCTTCTCCATTGAAAGCAGTATCCCAAAGGGCCAGATTAACAAATTAACTTGTACAATTAAGATGCTTGGTCTAAATTCCTATTAACTGGATCTCAAAATAGAAAGAGCTCAGATGTCTTTCAAATTGGTTATTTCCTGGCAGCTTTGGAGTCTCCAAGCTTGATCTGGTTCATACTCCTGTTTTAGGTGAATCATGACTAACGTGACTGCCCGAAGCAGCCAAGAGCCGAGACTTATGGTAGTTGGTATTTCAGACAAATTTACCACGGATTTATTTCCTGCTGTAATTCCTTTCAGATTATGGGACAGTCGGGGGCTGCAGGTAGCGCATATATTTCCCACAAAGCAGCATATTCAGACCTACTGCGAGGTCAGTGAGGATGGACACAAATGTATCTCCTGCAGCAACGGCTTTGGAGGGGAAGGCTGTGAAGCCACGGTAAGAGACTGGGGGGGTCCAGGTGTCTGGTTGCTGAGCAAATTACTTACTCTGACCTCATGTCTATACTGGCTACACAGGCAGGCTCTACTAATGGCTCAGGCCTATTCCAAGTGCATACTGTAAGTGAGCCTTTACATTCCAGAAGCTTCTTTCAAGAAACCTCCATTAGCCTTGGGCTCTCTGAATCGGTAGCAGAAAGAGGGATGGGATGAGAGTCAAGATAGAAAGGTGCTAAACACAGAACCTTCTAATGTCCCTACTTGCTAATGTCCCTACTCCCAGCAGGGCTTAGAAAGGGGAGGGATTATTTGAAGAGCCAAGGGTATTCCCATTGTACTTGTGGTCACAGCAAAGGAGCCTCAAGCTCTTCAGGAAGCTTGAAGCCCCAGTGTTGGTTGAGGGCCCACCCCATCCCTCACGCACATATCTTTCCTTGCAGTTAATTTTGGGTTAGATTGCCTCGGCTCCTCCAAAGTACCTTGGATTCCTAATTGTAGAATATGGGTTAAAGGGGCATCTAGTCCGAATAAAACAATTACAGCTCCCATTTTTTCAGACATTACATGCCAGACACTGGCCTGAGCACATTACATGCATTATCTCATTTAATCCTTCAAACAACCTCATGAGTTAAATGCTATAATAATCCCCATTTTACAGATGAGGAAATAGAGGCATGGCAGGTTGAAATCTCTTGCACAAGACCACACCTCTACCGACTGGGCTGGCCAGGTGCCCCATGACCACACCTCTAGCAAGTGGTAGGTTGAGGTGTTGAATCCCAGGCTATTGATGTAGCATCTCTTCGCCAAGCTAAACATTTCCACCTCCTACAATTGACATGGCGTCCTGTGATTTCATTGTTTTTCGGACACAATTCGGATCACTCTCTCCTCTGAATGTTATTCTCCTCAATTACACGCAGTCCGGTGATTTTATGCTTTTTTGCACACAATTCAGTTGGCTCTCCTCCCTGCACGTTGTTCTCTGGCTGGTCTGATTCATATCAGCGAGAGTGGGGTTGGCAGCACCTCCTTTGCTGTGGAGTCTCATCTTCATACACCGAGGTTCAGCACGTAGACAATAAATCAGAAAGTCTGCGCCTACGTGTACTTACGAGAAGGGTGCTCCTGACTCTGCGGTCTCCACAGGACCCCCAGGGGCCAAGAGGCTGATAGAAGGCAGCTCTTGAGCTGTAGGCAACCCCAGGTGCCTGGCTAGCTCTGTTGGAAGAGCATGTGATTCTTGATCTCAGGTCATGAGTTTGAGCCCCACATGGAGTGTAGAGATTACTTAAATAAATTAAAAGCTTTAGTTTTTTTTTATTAAAAATTTTTTTTAACGTTTATTATTTTTGAGAGAAAGAGACACAGAGCAAGCAGGGGAGGGGCAAAGAGAGAGGGAGACACAGAA